GTACTTGTAATGGTGGGGTAAAAAAATCTGATCAATAATAATAATAATAATAATAATAATAATAATAATAATGACATAACTAAACAAATAATACTGATGAAATATAAATTCCCAATCTAGCCTATTTGTGAGAATAACAAGGAGCAAAACTCATTAAAATGTTACAGTATTAATAAAAAATTCTGCAAATTCCTTGGGAGGTGCTTACCTCTTCCTTGGTCTTTTTGGATATAACTCTTAACCAATCACCAATCATGCTCAAGACAGCAGCAAAATATGCAAGGCCCACCAGAATCCAGAACCACACAACTGGTTTGTAGAAGTCAATATATTCAATATCTGATCCCCCTAAAAAGAAATCAATAAATATAGATTTGTATTGGATACCTGTTACCAGTCATTTACATTTCTTTACTATTTATTAAATGAACTTCATAGAACAACACAGGTTAGAGAGAAGTCAATTCAACATTAAAATCAACAAATATAATTATATTCCAGGCAAAGTTCAGAATTTTAATACAATTTCAGGAAGCAAGATAACTTGTTCTAAAATCTTTACCATGGAACTCAATAGGCTATTTGAACATCATGCTAAACTGTGATCTGGTATTCCACGAACTTGCATTCTCCTTTTCAGAAGCATATGCTTCTGCTTTTAAACGGAACAGTTTATCCATTAAATAAGAGTTTGGGGAACTCTGGTTAGTTGAACACCAATTAATGGTAAACCAGGATTATTGCTCATGGTTTGATTCTGATTTGTCTGAACAACTTTAATTTAAACAACATAGTTTAAGTGACCCTTGATAGATTTAAAACAAAAGTTTGGATATGCTCATAAACATCATTGAGTTTATGTTGACTGATACACATTTAGTATTGTATCTAAAAAGGTCCAATTCCACTTAAACTATATAACTTTGAAAGGACTACACCCGATATTATCTTTTTCTATTTTTCTTAAGGAGGTCACATGCAATTCGAGATTCATTTTGGACTTTCATACTGAGGAGTAAGCTTTACTAAAATGGTGAAGATTACTGAGACCAAGACCAAGATCAGACCCACTGGTAGGATCTGGCCCAGAAGTGAGGATCTGCTCAAATTGTGGTCTCCCTTCTATAACAGCATGGCCAGACCTACTATCATACCTCCCATTTTTCACTTTCATGTAAAGCCAGCCTCTTGCAGTCATGTCCCCAACCCATGTTTTTACCCAGTTTCCCCCTATCAACTCCATTCAAACAACCACCTAACAAACAAGCAATGTCAAAAACCAATGACACTAATAACATGAGATCTGTGAACTCTCTAACATCTCCCTCCAATCAGCCAGCACCAACCACCAATTCTACTGACAATGATAGGAACACAGCAACCTTCCTTTTCCTGAATCATCCATTTTTACCTCATTTATGTACTTATATCGACAATATGTCTGGGAAAAAGACTGGGAATTAACAGTAACTCTCCCAAACTTTAAGAAAGGAATGGAAAAACCTGCCTTCTAGTTATTAGCAAATCAAACTGGTTAGCATAGTCAGTAAGATTTACACTAGGCATTTATACTAAAAGGTGATGAACTTGTTTGTTATGGAGACTGTTCTCACTGAGGAGTGAAGGGCTTTAGAGATGAAAGACACAAAATATGCCAGAGGATTGTGCTGAGCCATTAGGTAGAGAAGTACACAACAAAGCCATGGTCTGTACTTTATGTTGCTTTTATTGATTTTAGTGCCTACATTCTTGGGAGAAAGTATGGGAAAACTAAAGGCCATATCAATTAACTGCCAATTGCTTACTCTTACCTCTAAGAGCATGAGAATACTGCTGTTAGGGTAGGAGGCAAAAGATAGTTTTCCTGTCTAAATACTAGCAAATTCACCAAGAGTGAATAAAACTTCATGAATCATCAAATTATCAATGGACAGAGATACAATCAAGAGATAAAACCAAGAAAAATGGCCCAGGGATGGTATCATTATCATCATCTTATGATTTATGGATTTGGGGATTAAAAGAGGGAGAGGAAAGTATAAGATGGCAATTGCTCAATAGAAAGAAAGGTGGAAGTCATAATGCTATGTTTTTTTTCTTTTTTCACTTTCTTTTTTCTTTTTTAATCTTTTTCTTTCTTATTTTTCTTTTAATTTTTTAATATTTTTATTGTATTGAAAAACTCTAATAAAAATATATATATAAAAAAAACAATCACCATCATCTTCATTCCTTGGTTCAGTATTTCTCAACCTCAGCAACTTTAAGATGTGTGGATTTGAAGTTGAAGTCCACACATCTTAAAGTTGCTGAGGTTGAGAAATACTGCCTTGGATAAATGGATAGCTATTTCTGTATGCTGCTCAGAACACACAAAAGAATTCAGAAACTACTTGTCCTTCCACAGCAGGGGAACCAGTTATATTCCAGCTGTGATTAAGCTTTCTATCATCATATTTGGTACAAGTGGGTAGAACTTATCGTAAGGTATAAGTGTGCTGCCTGCTGAGATAGTGGACTATGGCATAAATATGGTGAAGGCAGCGGGGAAATAAACACTTTGGGGCCTGCAAGCACACAAAGCTTTCTGGGCTCCCCTTGCTGCCTATTTCTTGCTCCGAGCATTCAACAAATCTGACCACCTGGGGTAGGACTACCATATTTGGCTGCAGAAATACATGGCAACAGAGAGATGCAACTCAGATGTGATCTGCACAAGAGAGAATCGGGGGGGGGGGGGGGGG